CACACCAGACAGTAAGAGATGAAACATTAATTTGTGTGAAAAGAAAAAGATAATCATAATCCGTCTGACCGAAACAATTAATTACCAATAATAATAAATTTAAACAATAGAAATAGGAATGTAAACTTGAGTAAAAGTCCCATAAAAAGAAAAAAACTAAAGAATTAAAGAGGTATATACAAAAAGATAGGCTTTAAGAGGGAAATTAAAAATGGTTCCCTCTTTAAAATTGCAAAGGCCCATTGAGGGAGAAAGAGTAGTGATATTGAAAAAAAAATAAAAAAATTGTGTGAATAAAAAAATCAATGACTACAAAAAAAGGGGGAAGGGGAATTTGTGCAGGGAAATTTAATTAATATTATCAAGAAATATTGTAACATAAATAGTAAAATATTAATATCTTCATTACAAGTTTATAATTATTTAATATATATACCATATTTACTGTTTAAATTCTTTTTATTAGATTTTTTTTTCACGAGAATAACAATAGACATAACAACATCACAGGGGCGGAACCTTACATAGAAAAATTAAGGACTCCTATCCCCATTAAACATACAAAGGTATATTATTCTATTTCGAAATTCATCAATAGGCCGTCTAGAACACAATAATATAATAACACTGAGGTCCTATCAAGTGGATATCGTGGTCCAAAATCGGCCATTAAAAACCTTATAGATAAGACAAACAAATACAAAGACAAAACTGGTCATATGTATTGCAGATCCACTACCACATTTAAGTAAAACAGTATGAGGACAAGGAGCCCAACAACAGAACCTGTTATGAAATCATCAGATCAACCAAAAGGTGATCGTATGCAGTACCCCACCACCTCAAACTCATTAAAAGCCATTAATTTTTTTCAACAAGACTAGAATAAAACATCATAGTATTAAAATTAGGATATTCTCTCATGGACATTAACCCCTTTTCCATCTCAACTTGGAATAGGAGTTGGGCTTTAACTTGATCTCTCGTAGGAATATCAGTGCTTTTCCAAAATCTAGCAATTAATATTTTAGAAGCCATTAGACAGTGCTTACCTAGATTTCAGTAAGGCTTTTGACACTGTTGCACATAGAAGGCTTATCAATAAACTGCAATCTTTAAGTTTGGATTCAAATATTGTTGAATGGGTAAGGCAGTGGCTGAGTAACAGGCAACAGAGGGTTGTAGTTAATGGAATATATTCGAAGCTTGGACTTGTCACCAGTGGGGTACCTCAGGGATCTGTACTTGGACCCATTTCTTTAATATTTTTATTAGTGATATTGCAGAAGGTCTTGATGGTAAGGTATGTCTTTTTGCTGATGATACTAAGATATGTAACAGGGTTGATGTTCCAGGAGGGATAAGCCAAATGACAAATGATTTAGGTAAACTAGAAAAATGGTCAGAATTGTGGCAACTGACATTTAATGTGGATAAGTGCAAGATAATGCATCTTGGACGTAAAAACCCAAGGGCAGAGTACAGAATATTTGATAGAGTCCTAACCCTCAACATATGAGGAAAGGGATTTAGGGGTGATTATTTCTGATGACTTAAAGGTAGGCAGACAATGTAATAGAGCTGCAGGAAATGCTAGCAGAATGCTTGGTTGTATAGGGAGAGGTATTAGCAGTAGAAAGAGGAAAGTGCTCATGCCATTATACAGAACACTGGTGAGACCTCACTTGGAGTATTGTACACAGTACTGGAGACCGTATCTTCAGAAGGATATTGACACCTTAGAGAGGGTTCAGAGAAGGGCTACTAAACTGGTTCATGGATTGCGGGATAAAACTTACCAGGAAAGGTTAAAGGATCTTAACATGTATAGCTTGGAGGAAAGACGAGACAGGGGGGATATGATAGAAACATTTAAATATATAAAGGGAATCAACACAGTAAAGGAGGAGACTATATTTAAAAGAAGAAAACTACCACAACAAGAGGACATAGTCTTAAATTAGAGGGACAAAGGTTTAAAATAATATCAGGAAGTATTACTTTACTGAGAGGGTAGTGGATGCATGGAATAGCCTTCCAGCTGAAGTGGTAGAGGTTAACACAGTAAAGGAGTTTAAGCATGCGTGGGATAGGCATAAGGCTATCCTAACTATAAGATAAGGCTAGGGACTAATGAAAGTTTTTAGAAAATTGGGCAGACTAGATGGGCCGAATGGTTCTTATCTGCCGTCACATTCTATGTTTCTATGTTTCTATGTTTCTATGTATAATCACAATATCAAGATTATCCTTTATTTCTAAGCCCAAAAGATAGAGTAGGGCAACTTCCGGTTTGAATTCCAAATAAATACCTCCAATTCTATTTATAAATTCATATATAATCATCCAAAGAGATTTAATTTGATGGCAGGACCACCATATATGAACCATAGAGCCATCTGGACAATTAGATGGATTAGTAATAGAAATTTTAGCAAGTCTGGTCGGTACCAGGTACCATCTATATAATATTTTAGTAAAAGTCTCTAGAATATTCAGGCAGTGGATAATTTTTTTTAGTCCTTACAAAGGATTTACACCAACTATTAAATGGAATAGAAATTGCTAGATCAGTTTCCCATTTAGTTAAGGCTTTGGGGATAAGTGGGGTCCCTTTCATTTTTATTAGTTCAACTGCAATAGAGAAGATCCTTTTAACGTTACATCCTGAAAAGATTTTCCTAAGCAGTATTCCAAAACGGCCTTCTAAAACCAATATGTTATCTTTCAAATAGCTCTTAATACGAAGAAAGTTAAATAATTCTCTGGAGGGTAAATCTAACCAATTTTTAAAAACTTCAAAGCTTTTCAATTGGTGGTCATTATAAAGATCTTTTATCTTATGATTAGAGTCTTTATACCAATTCGTCAAGTTTATCTCTAGCATAAAACATTCTAACGACCTTAGACTCAGGTTCTCATATAATTTTCTATTAATATTCAACTTCTTCTTTATATTAGTCCATTCTCTTAAAGGACCACTCTAGGCACCCAGACCACTTCAGCTTAATGAAGTGGTCTGGGTGCCAGGTCCTTCTAGGGTTAACCCATTTTTTATAAACATAGCAGTTTCAGAGAAACTGCTATGTTAATGAATGGGTTAAGCCTTCCCCCATTCCCCCTAGTGGCTGTCTCATTGATTTTCACAGTGAGAGCACGCAAGCGTCCATAGGAAAGCATTGTAAATGCTTTCCTATGCGACGGGCTGAATGCGCGCGCAACTCTTGCCGCTCGTGCACATTCAGCCCAGGAGGAGGATCGGAGGAGGAGAGGAGGCAGAGAGCTCCCCACCCAGCGCTGGAAAAAGGTAAGTTTTAACCCCTTTCCCCTTTCCAGAGCCGGGCGGGAGGGGGCCCCCTCAGGGCACTATAGTGCCAGGAAAACAAGTATGTTTTCCTGGCACTATAGTGGTCCTTTAATGTCTGTGATAAAGACAAAGGAAAATGTGAACCAATCTCGCACAGATGCTTATTCTGGCTTGCCTCTCTCCATAAGAGGAATTCGAGATTGTCTAAACCAAGTCTGGCTGCTTCAATTTTATACCAAGCTTGGTCAATAGAGTCGCTTAATTGTAATTTACTGGCATGAACAAGTATATTAGTCTGGTAGATTTGATTAGTCTGTCTGTGTGTATGTCAGTATGTCTGTGTGTGTGTGTGTGTGTCAGTATATCTGTTAATGTATGTGTCTGTGTATGTATGTATGTATGTCTGTGTGTGTGTCAGTATGTCTGCCAGTATATATTTGTGTGTAGTGACTGTGTGTGTAAGTATGTATCTGTGAATGTTTTAATGTCTGTCTGTGTGTGTATGTGCCAGTACGTCTGTCAGTGTGATTGTGGGTTGGACGTAATTGGGGGGTGAGGCAGTGGCAGGGACAGGGCCCATGGGGCCCAAGAAAATGCATTGCCCAGGGTCCTAATCATATTATAGACGGCCCTGAGTTAATCTATATTTCTTTTTAGGGCTCCTTGCCCACATCTGCAACACATACGACCAGTTAAACATACTACACAGCTGACAATACAACAGTAAAACAATGATATCTACATAAACTTCTGGAATACCAAAAATAATATTCCACATACTGAGAATCCCATAGACTCCCACAGGAAAAAGCATGGGATCACGGACTTTCTTATAACAAGAAAAAGAAAACGGAGAGGTTGAAGGAGTGAGAGGAAAAGAAAAAAAAAAAACATTTTTATATTAAGAATCTCACTTCATGATTATCTAAAGGATACACCATTCAAAATAAATATCAAAATTAGAATAGTCTAAATTAATTATACCACTCCCAACAATATCGCTAATCTTCCTATTGCCCATTAAGGGCCGACGTGAGTACACTCTCAACTTCTAAAGTGTTAATAATAGGTATTTCTAAATAATTTATTGTTTACAGTGCTATCATCATGACCTTTACTCCCATCATACCAATATGAACTACATCAACAAATTATACCAATTTAGGGCATTTTGTTTCACAAAATTGTGGTCACCCTAATAATCACTTATATTTCCAGAGATAACATCAATATATATATATATATATATATATATATATATATATATATATAATTTTTCCCCTTTTCCCTTCCCATTTGTTCTTCCGGTGTCTAGTCTATATTTGTTATGCCATTCCTAGTATTTCCCTGAATTTTTTCTATTATCCCTAATAGGACCAGTGAGAATACACTCTCATTCTGTATAAGCAAACTAATGTGGTACAAACACCAGAATCATTACTCCAATATTACCATTATAAACTAATACCCTTATTATTCCTATTACATCCCATGACCATTTAAAAAAAATAAAAAAAAATTCTTTACCTTCTCCTCTCCTCCGCCTCCCCCGCCTTCAATTTTCCACACGAGGACGCGAGCACAACACTTCGCCCACCAGACTGATTACCTAAAACTACATATCAATATCTTTTAACCAGGCATGAGCCAGATCCACTGACTTGAAAGACTTCCATATGTCATTATAACAAATTCATAAAACTGATTGAGCGGTCCATTTAAACTTTAAGTTAAATTTCTTCAGACAGGGAAAGACCATAGAAAATAAATTTCTTCTTTGCCTCGTTAGGTAAGAGACATCTGTTAACACTTTTATTGCTGTAAACTTTTCATCATTTATCTTCGTCTTCCTCGTGGACTGAAGGATCTGAGTCCTGAGATCATATGAAACGAACGCTACAATAACATCACGTGGGTACACTTGATCTTTCTTTCTATGGGAAAGACGGTGGTACCGAGACAACTTAATATCTTGCTGTACCGTAAGGACCCCCAAACAGTTTAAATATTTTATCAAAAAATCATATAATTGAGCATCTAATATGTCCTCAGGTATATTTCTGAACCTTAAGTTCAATCTTCTTGCTCTGTCTTCCAGCTCGCACATTTTGTCTTCCATTTCTTTCAACTTCCATTCCGTCTTGATTTGAGTGTCCTTTACTGCCTGGAGCAGAAACACAATATCTTCTTCCTTTTCTTCTAATTTATGAATGCGTTCCTTTAACTCCGCTAAGTCCATCTTTATATCAGAAAATGTATCACTCAAATCTTTTTTAATATCTTTAGACAGATCTTCCAAACATTTCTTTAAAAAAGGAGGAGTAACTACTTCTTTATCCAAAACTTTAATAGGTGAAGCAAAAACCCCTGTTTGAAGCGATTCCAGAGATGATTGCTCCATACAGTCATGGCCATCTTGTGGAACAAAAAAAGCCGATAATCTTTTTTTCTTGCTTTTGGCCCTTTTTATCAGCTTTTGTTGAGGCTTTACTCTCCTGTGCTTTTTTGGAAGACATATCGCTTTAAATTAGGAAGAGAGAGGAAAGAGAAACAAAAAAAAAAAAAAAACTAATTCTCCTTTCTATGGTAGATAGCCCATGTCGAACAATCAATCAGCACCAGTTGTATATGTGCTATATATATGCTGGTATGTCAGCAACACCAACTAGTTGCATAACATGCACTTTTGAGTCCTTAAATGGCCACAAATGTTTTCTCTTTTTCCTTTCTTTTCTCCTTCCCTCCTCCCCTTTTATGTCGCTTTTTATACTATATTCTATATTCAGTGTGATAGCTGCCTTTAGGTATAAGATGCCACTGTATTCACAGTGTTATGAGTGCCTTTTTGGCGTACAAAGCCACAGTATTCACAGTGTTATAACTGCCTTTTGAAAGAAGAGAGATATAGAGTTATATGCAGAGTTATATGCAGAGTTATAAGTAGCTTTTAGTATAAGATGCCACAATATTCACAGTGTTATAACTGCCTTTTGGTATAAGGTGCCACAGTATTCACAGAGTTATAAGTAGCTTTTGGTATAAGATGCCACAGTTTTCACAGTATTATAACTGCCTTTTGGCATAAAATGCCACAGTGCTCACAGTGTTATAAGATGTGCTGTATAAGTTATAAGTGTCTTTTGGTATAAGATGCCACAATATTCACAGTATTATAACTGCCTTTTGGCATAAGGTGCCACAGTATTCACAGAGTTATAAGTGTCTTTTGGTATAAGATGCCACAATATTCACAGTATTATAACTGCCTTTTGGCATAAGGTGCCACAGTATTCACAGAGTTATAAGTGTCTTTTGGTATAAGATGCCACAATATTCACAGTATTATAACTGCCTTTTGGCATAAGGTGCCACAGTATTCACAGAGTTATAAGTGTCTTTTGGTATAAGATGCCACAATATTCACAGTATTATAACTGCCTTTTGGCATAAAGTGCCACAGTGTTCACAGTATTTTAACTGCCTTTTGAAAGGGTTTATAAGATGCCCCAGCATTCACTGTGTTATAAGTAGCTTTTGGTATCAGATGCCACAGTTTTCACAGTATTATAACTGTCTTTTGGCATAAAATGCCACAGCGCTCACAGTGTTATAAGATGTGCTATAAAATGCCAAAAAATAATAAAGGAAAGAGTAGCGTTCTCACACAGTCTAAAATTATACTGGATGTCCGCGCTAGTTCACTTAGCTGTCGACCTGTCTAGTACCATACTGCTAAATACTGCTGGATCGGTCGGCTAGGTATGTATCAGCCTGCTTGGGCTCCGTGCTAGCGAGGCAGCAATGGCGCTTCTAGGCTTCGCGTCTCGCCATCTCTTCCCGCCAATCTCTTCGGTCCCAGCTCCTCCCCTCCCGGCGTGAGCGGCGTCCCGTCACGTCATCATCTCCCCCCCCCATAAATATACCATATTTAATTAAATTTATCTCCCGCTATTTTTCCCTCCCCCTACCTTAAGATTATTCTACTAAAATATAATTAATAGTATTATTGCAATAAATTATAATTTCCAAGAATTCACAAATCTAATTTTTTTAATATTCTGTATTTTGCCTCTTCCTTAAGATCCAAATTCATATTAATGTAAAGTCAATGCATTCGTAGGTTTCAAATAAGTTAACGCACTTTCCAATGTAATGAATTTGTAGAAATCATAAACTCAACTTATTTTATATCGAAAAATTTAATTCTAAAATTAGAAGTCTACACATATAATTAGTAAGCTCAAGATACATACTATTTAAGTCCTTATTGTACGTATCTAATAATTTATTAACTAAATCACTAATAAATAAAAGGTAAGCTTAAAGTCTATTACGTTACTCTATTTGATTCCATAGTTTATGTTTGACTTTTCCCTTAATAAACAATTCAATTATCTTTCATTCATTCAACTAAATAAATACCCATTTACAGTAACAAACTTCTCATGAAAAAGCATGCGCATATATTTGTCTAATAGCCTTTGTGTTAAACCATACAAATTACAGTCAAAGATTTGGCTGTTCACCATTTCCATCCATCTATATTTTTTTTTGTTTTTTTTGTAATTTTGCAGTGCAGTTGAACTTTACATACAGTTGCAAGAAAAAGTATGTGAACCCTTTGGAATGATATGGATTTCTGCACAAATTGGTCATAAAATGTGATCTGATCATCATCTAAGTCACAACAATAGACAATCACAGTCTGCTTAAACTAATAACACACAAAGAATGAAATGTTGCCATGTTTTTATTGAACACATCATGTAAACATTCACAGTGCAGGTGGAAAAAGTATGTGAACCCTTAGACTAATGACATCTCCAAGAGCTAATTGGAGTGAGATGTCAGCCAACTGGAGTCCAATCAATGAGATGAGATTGGAGGTGTGGGTTACAGCTGCCCTCCCCTATAAAAAACACACACCAGTTCTGGGTTTGATTTTCACAAGAAGCATTGCCTGATGTGAATGAGGCCTCGCACAAAAGAGCTCTCAGAAGACCTACGATTAAGAATTGTTGACTTGCATAAAGCTGGAAAGGGTTATAAAAGTATCTCCAAAAGCCTTGCTGTTCATCAGTCCACGGTAAGACAAATTGTCTATAAATGGAGAAAGTTCAGCACTGCTGCTACTCTCCCTAGGAGTGGCCGTCCTGTAAAGATGACTGCAAGAGCACAGCGTAGACTGCTCAATGAGGTGAAGAAGAATCCTAGAGTGTCAGCTAAAGACTTACAAAAGTCACTGGCAAATGCTAACATCCCTGTTAGTGAATCTACAATACGTAAAACACTAAACAAGAATGGATTTCATGGGAGGATACCACAGAGAAAGCCACTGCTGTTTGCACAAGAGCACCTCGATGTTCCACAGCAGTACTGGCAAAATATTTGGAGGACAGATGAAAACAATGTTGAGTTGTTTGGAAGAAACACACAACATTATGTGTGGCGAAAAAAAGGCACAGCACACCAACATCAAAACCTCATCCCAACTGTGAAGTATGGTGGTGGGGGCATCATGGTTTGGGGCTGCTTTGCTGCATCAGGGCCTGGACGGATTGCTATCATCGAAGGAAAAATGAATTCCCAAGTTTATCAAGACATTTTGCAGGAGAACTTAAGGCCATATGTCTACCAGCTGAAGCTCAATAAAAGATGGGTGTGGCAACAGGACAATGACCCAAAGCATAGCAGTAAATCAACAACAGAATGGCTTAAACAGAAGAAAATATGCCTTCTGAAGTGGACCAGTCAGAGTCCTGACCTCAACCCGATTGAGATGCTGTGGTATGACCTCAAGAAAGCGATTCACACCAGACATCCCAAGAATATTGCTGAACTGAAACAGTTCTGTAAAGAGGAATGGTCAAGAATTACACCTGACCGTTGTGCACGTCTTATCTGCAACTACAGGAAACGTTTGGTTGAAGTTATTGCTGCCAAAGGAGGTTCAACCAGTTATTAAATCCAAGGGTTCACATACTTTTTCCACCTGCACTGTGAATGTTTACATGGTGTGTTCAATAAAAACATGGCAACATTTCATTCTTTGTGTGTTATTAGTTTAAGCAGACTGTGATTGTCTATTGTTGTGACTAAGATGATGATCAGATCACATTTTATGACCAATTTGTGCAGAAATCCATATCATTCCAACGGGTTCACATACTTTTTCTTGCAACTGTACATGCCAGAGGTGCCCCATTGGCAGTCTTCAAACTCATTAGCAGGTTATACATCTGGGGTATTAGTTGAATCATGCTCCATTTTATAATATAAAGCATAGATCATGTCGAGTGTTACTAAGGAGCTTGTTTTCGCTTTAATATACTGATATCAGTAGCCTAGTTCTGTTGACCAGTCTGCACACTATGGTCTAGGAAAAGATTTACAATAGTAGATCTAGCGGGATGCTAAGTATTTCAGGATAGGGGCATAGAAGCAGAATTATGGTAGTTTAAGCTTCGTGATTAGGCTATAAGTGTGGGGTTCCAGAACTTGGTGTGTGAGTATGTGGTGCCGGTTGGCAGTTACTTCCTTAGACCGGTATGGAGCTGGGTGCTTCAGTTTGAGTGCATCTGTCAAAGACAGTGTGTGGTAGTGCCAGCTGTGTGTTTTTGCTTGTGTCTGCCGTGTGCTTTGTTGTGCCGGATTAGCTATACTGGCGGGTATGCGCAACCTGTTGGAAGTCTTTGAGTTTACTATGGAAGTGGTCGTGTGTATAGCTGCGTCTCAGGCTGGTACGTGAGAGGGGGGACAGTCCAGCATATCATACTTGTGGTGCAAGTCCCAGATCAGCCGATACCCCTGCTTGCAGGCTTAGGGGGTTGAGTGGCAGCAAGAGGCAGAGTTCAGGCTGGTCCTCCCCACAGCCTCGGGCCGTCATGAAGTCCTTCACATGGTGGCCACGAACTTAGACATCAGCCAAGTTCTTCCCTTTCCGGGGATTGCCGTGGACCCTGCTGGTGCGTCGCCGTCTGTGGCGTTGGGCCCTCCTTGCTGGTGGCCGGTGCTCCGAGGATGTCTCCCCTTTAGTCTTCAGCCCGAGTGGGCTCTTCATGTAGTGTGGTATGTGTGCCTGATAAGGAGTGCCCAGGGGGACCTGCTCTTTTCCTGCCCTTCTTTCCTCCGCTCACTTTCTCTTGCCGGTACATCTGGCTTCTCAAGGCGGTCAGCTGGCTCATCCCAGAGGCTGTCTAGTGCTGTAGTCAGGAGCTGCAGTGTGATCCCCCATGTGGTCTGCTTTTTCTCGGCTGCAGAGTGTTGGCCATGTTAGGGTGAACTGCCCGGTCCGTGTTCTGTCGCCTAGCAGGTGCTTGGGCCCAGCTGGAAGCAGTTGTGGGGACCAGGATAACCCCCACCGGTCCAAGGGGGGGACAGCTAGTCATCGGTCGGAGACTT